CAGGGCTGTGTGTCATTTCTCAGCCTTTACAACCTGCTGTGCTGCGAGATAGAATTCTGCATTGTCCTCATGTAACCTGGGAAATAAATAAAATATATTTTAAAGCTTCTTATCACAAACTTATAACTAAAAAATAGATTCTGTTTGAAGACAAAGAAACGCTGAAAAATGTCAGTGACTGTAAAGGGCGATCCCTTCAACTCATGTCCAACCATTTTGTCCATATAATCGATGGAAGGCCTGTAATTTAAACTGGATTATTTGGTTTGCAGAGCAGATAATAGGTTGTTTGGTTTGTCTTAGAAATGAGGCATGAGCTATGCATTTTTTGTGGCAACTGCCTGTCAATTCTTTGTGAAAGGAGCCAAAAACCCATGTAAGAGATCTCTGTGCTCTGCGTCTCCCCTTCTAATCTGACACTGCTGGCAAGACAGTAGTCCATGTAAACAGACGTTCTCAGGAGGAGAATGTAAATTTGTTGACCGCTGGCATTTTTCTGACGTTGAGGAGACATTGCCTTTCAGCACTTATCGGCAGACTGTACCGTCAGAACCAGAGAACGTTGCTTCTCGGTTCATTTTCATTTAGAAAAAGAAAAACGTTATTGGAATCAATTCCTAGAATTTGAAGCCATCGTGGACCATGTGTGATGCTAATGATTGGTATTCCAGCAGCTTATTTTACAACAAACCTTTAACATCGTGCTCAAAGTAGGTGATTTTCTGTCCTCGGCACAGGAAACAATTTACACCTACAAAAATCCCAGCTACACGACCCAGTCGGGTCAGTTAGTTTTACGACCAAGGAAACGGCATCAAAGAGCCTCACATTTAACCCTGAATTTCCCGGCTTTAAACCCAGTCACTGCTTCGGCCGTTGGATCTTTTTTGCCTTTGATGTAAAACGCTACTATGAGTTGTTGTCGCAGCACGGTCTGGTCACGAAAAATGTTTCATATTTGTTTTCTCACACACTTCTACGTCATTGAAGTTGGGTTCCACCCTATAGCTGCGTGTGAATTTAGAAGGACCATAAACTGAATGGACGACCCCTCCTCCTCCTCCTCCTCCTCCTCCTCCTCATCTGTGTGTTCTCCCATGTTCTGCTTACACTCCACACATGCGCCAACAGGATGTTATGCTCCCAACACATGGCTTATATTTTCACTCATGTTTCACATCTACGTCTGTTCAGCTCCCTGCCACAGAGAGGACCTGATGGTTGGTCCTGGTGCATTTTGGGGGTTTTGCTGGTGTGACAGCCAGACTGTGTACAAGTGTGTTTCTTTACAAGTCCTTATTTTAATATTGACATATGGTCTCTTTCAACCATTATAGGACACTATAGGATTGTGATGCTCACGTATCACTGCAGCCTGGGAAATGTAGCATGAGGATTGTGATGCTCACGTGTCACTGCAGCCTGGGAAATGTAGCATGATGGGAGAACGGTTGAGGGCAAATGCCATGACATTTTGTAGATTGGCTCGATTTGATTAAAATGATTCACGGTTTGATATTTTTTCACTGGCATCAAAAGACTCTATTAATAGTCAGAACTGTCTCTCTACACAAGCTTAACAACATAATATACAAATAACTACTCTCAACTACTGTAACAGTGTAGTATTTCAAGTATTCATCCACAACTTGAGCCTGCAACAACAACAGCTAGAATGGAGGTAGCAACGTCCTATTTTTCCTCCTGTCTCTGGTCTGTAGTCAGTGGATTCAGCAGTATACAGCTGGCGTTATTGTGTTGGATGTTGTTTTACGTGTCCGTCTGTTTTTTCGTACCTCCTTACTGTACATTAGATCCTTTATTTGGTTTTTATGTTTTTAAAATCTCTTTAAATCCTCTCCCTGTCAATGAAAATAAAACACATCTGTTATAGGGTGGTTCAAGTGGGACATAAACGGTACCCTGTGATCAAAAGATCATTACCCAGGAGCATGCAAATTAACTTTTATTATATTTGGCCTGGCCTTCTGCCCCGTCTGGGTATTTGCCACTGGGAGAGACTTTTAAAAGGCACTGACTTTTGACGGACTACAAAGAAAGACGAGCAAATGACCTGCTGTAACAAACTGTGTCTGAGTGTGGAGGAAAACAGGCTGCTGAGAGTTCCTGCACTTCTTTTTGTTTTTACTTAGTTCTTACAGTAAAGTCTAAAGGCCACCTAGAAACTGAGGGAATTTTTGTGAATATATAATTTGTTCAGACCATTTCTTAATCATGTGCACAATCAGTGTCTTTAATTTTTTTTTTTTTTAATAAATATTAATTTAGAAAGAAAAATAAATCAACACACAAGTGTGTTAATAGCACCATCTGCAGGGAGGTTGAAACACTGATGGTCTCTGTGTTTCAAATTTTCTTTAAAATATTAGGATACATTTCACTAATTTTGTTTAAACATTATTATAATTGTCTTTGCCCAAATCTCTACAGTTTGCATTTCAATAGTTTTCAGTGTTTTTAACTGGCTGTGTGTGATTTCTGCTGCTCTCATCATCCTTAAAAGTGTCTTGTCTCATCATTGTTTTTCTGTATTTGTCACAGTTTCCATCTTCTTTATCTTCATTTCTGCCTTTTACTTTCTTTCCATCGTCTCAACTCCACACTGGAGTTAATCCATGACCGAAACTTTGTATTTGTTTAATTTTGAGATCTTAGGGATATGACATATTAAATGGAAAATAATTTTTTTTTCACACTTTCAAACTTCACATTTCAACGCAAACACCAGACCATCATGTTTGTTTAGTTTCCATGTCCTTCTTTTGTTCTTTGAAACGTGGCGTTGACAGCAGGAGTCCTTTTACACAAAGTGTGAGAAAATGTGGGCAGAGAGATTCAGCCCCTGCATGAAATCTGGTTTTATTTGATTTTAATGGTCTGTCAGCTCCAATGTAGCTCACATTTGATTTCATAATCAAATACAAAGATCAGTATTTTCACTTTGTTGATCGATGGGTTACGGCTTTGGTCCATGAGGTGCAACAAATGGAAGAAAATGTCAACGTCTGACCAAAAACCTCAAGAGCAGAAAGTCCTGTATTGTCTTTCTTTTTGTCCACAAATTATAGTTATTCATTTTATTGTCAAAGAAGGGCCACTGGAAACCCAAATGTTTCACATTCGAGAACCAGAAATCAGTGGAAATCTGTTTAAATTTCTGAAGAACTTGCTCTAAACTCTCTGTTGATTATTAAAGAAAAAAAATGGTGGCGGTTAATGTTTGTGTTGGAAAATAGGCCTGAATTTGGTTCTGTGGTTCCATTGGTAGATACTTTACTGCAGCTAAAAAGAATGGCGTTTCTTAAACACTGTTTTGGTCACTTTGAATGTCCGTTATTTGTAAATATGTACTTCTAACAGAGCTGTCCAAATGACACGTTAACTGTGATCATTAAGAAAAGTCTGACAGATCTTTTGAAACTACTGTGATCGTTAATCAGGAAGAAAAGTCTGACAGATCTTTTGAAACACATTTTAATGGATGTGCAGATTGATGGACGCTGTATATTCAACAACTCCACGTGTCGTAGCCAAGATGAACAGTGATTAAAATCCACCAAATCTACGATAAAGATTAAAGTTCTACACATTTCTCTTGACATTTTTCCATATTAATAATTCCATCATTTGGATTATTGATAACAATAGATGTACACTAATCTCTACTACTAATAATTCCATCATTTGAATTATTGACAACAATAGATGTACACTAATCTCTACTAACCATTATTATTAAATTTGTGATTAATCATGAATAATCCCAGTTACCTATGATCACAATTATCGATTATGAGTATTTGAAATTAAAGCACAGCTTCCCTGAAGTCAGTCACATTATAAAAAAATGACCTTACGTTATGTAATTTCTTCCATGATGTATTTTTGAAGCGCATGTTTTCCATTGTGACTCCTACGTGACGACTTGATTAATCCACTTTGAATGGGAAAATTTTCATCTGTCATTAGTCATTAACTTTTCACACATAAAAACATTGGTTTTCCAGCAAAGATCAGCCGTTTTATTCACAGTGCATTTCAATAGTCCCCATGCAATTGCATTGAATCTCATTTTTACATTCTGTAACCCAGGTTGACTTTTTGTTTTTGTCTTTTGTAATTTTTTTTTTTTAAATCTGAAAATAATTCCAAAGACAGCTGCTGCATTGTACTCCCTCATTCTGTAGCTGTGATTTCCCTGAGTCATGAAATCATTCTTGTTTGTGCGTTCAGGTTCACATTTATTACTGAACGGTGTGACTTTGTTCAGCCAAATTTACACAAACACATCTTGAGAAACCCTGGCTAAAACGGATGATTAAAAACTCACCCTTCTCCCCCCTTTTCCCCCCTTGTCCCCCGGGACGCAGAAACGCGAGTCTTTTTGGTGGAGCAGATACTGTATGTATTTCGCATCAGCAGAGTTTGAAGATTTTGCAGATGTGTCTTCGTGACTACGGGCCAGATTTGCTACGTTTTTGTTGGCCATGATTCTTTAACCACCTCACTGCACCAGCTGAGGGAGCCACTGGGCATTTCCTTTATAAACACCCAGGAATCTCCTTCAAAGTTTCATATTCCCAACAGGTGAATCGTGTTCCGTACTTTGCAAGGTCAGACGTGTACGTTCCGCTGATCGACACGTTTCTACATTTATAAAAGGTGGTGCAAAGCTGTCATAATTGTTGTATGACTGTTTTAACAGCAGCTACTGAGAAATATTTTCATTTCATCCATCGGTTGGTTGAACAGGAGCCTCGTCCAATTTCTGGGATTACGGAAAATTACACTGAGATTATTTTATCATTATTGTAAATGAGCAGTGCGGCCGAGCGTGCCAAGTACAACATCCAAAGAAACATGTGTCACCAAATACTAGATAATCTGTGAGTAATTTGCTCGTGTTAGAGTTTGACTGGATTTTCAAATCTGAGTGGATTAAATTTATTTTTATTCTTTTTTTTTCTTTCCTACTCCAGCTGCCTCCGAGGGGAGAGTCAACGGAGGGGAGGATTTCTTTCAGAAGGTGAGTGTGTGATCTCGTGTTTGTTTGTACTCTTTGGTGACGTTGCAGCCCACTGAGCAGCTCCTCCCCTCGTGATAGGGGGGCAGATGTCAGGTGCTCCCCCCTCTCCCTCCCCTCCCTCCATTCAGTGTTCATTACCTTTCAAAACAAATACAAATTATACAAGGACGCTGAGGTGGAATCTCACCAGCGCTGTGATCCTATAACACAGCTGACACAACATTGTTTCTCTCCTCACTTACATAACGAACCATAACATGTGGTGTTATCAGGACAAACAGAGCTGCTAAACACAGGCGTGATCAGGCCAACGCCGACGCTAGTTTTTATTTCACTGTGTAATACCACACTGCAAAGATCAGGTACAAATCTTGTTCTTAATCTTGAATGAACAACTGAAGCACAATAAATAATTGAATATTCTACAATAATCCAAAAACATTTTTTTACCTTAATGTCGAAACTAAAATAATCTGACTCGACATCTCGTCACAAGCCAGTTTTGGGATGGAGTTTAAGACCCTGAGCAACGTGGGTGATATTTTGAAAGTAAAGTAATGGTAAAGTACCAAAATGAATCTAACTTCAGCACAGGGGCCGAATGAGTTTTGCATTTGAACCATATAAGGCAGTGTTTCCCAAACTTTTTTTCTTGGGACCCATATTTTAAAAGTCACAAACCTTCGCAACCCAAGTCAATAGACATTATTCTGGGAAACATGATGCGAGACGTCCCAAAAACATCTCTTGCGACCCACCTGAGGGTCGTAACCCAGTCTTTGGGAAACAATGAGGTGTTTGACATATGGACGGTACAAATGTATGGAGGTTGTTTACTGATAAATGAAGCACTGCCCTGTGGTTTTGAGACACTTTAGGATTTTTATTATTATTATTGAGGCTACAGTAACAGTAACTGGTGTTTAATGAATGAATAATTAATGAATATATATTTATTTCCTATAATGTCATACAGCTGATCGTTGGATAACTGAAATACCCCCATGTGTGCTATTGTGTAGTTGATTTATTTAGGTCTTTCAGTTGTTTCCTGTGTTTTAAAAATTAAAACTGCAAATAACTAATGTGAGGCCAAGACTTCTGGGAAGACTTTTCCACTACTTCTTCGTGTTAGCGTCACAATTCGGAATTCGTAATGAAGTGCAGAACATTCCCTGACAGTGCCGTAAATCTGTCTGAAAATAATCAGCTGTGATTACTGTTGAGCTCAAACCCTCATCCCGTCACACACCATTGTGTTGGTGCTTGAAAATGTGTCTCATTACTTGGGGTCATTATGACGGTGAAGGGTGTACACTGTACCAACTGACAAATAAATGACCCAATTTAAACGATTTAAACTCCAACTACTGGTATTAAATTGGCTGTATCTTATTTCAGCCCTGCTATGACAAATGAAGTTGTGTGTTAGGAATGAACCAATGGACGATGGCCTGCGACCAAAACTGAAAATAACATTTGCTTCAATGACTGTTTGGTGGATTCCAAACATGAAGGTATCGTCTTGTCTTCGTCTTGTTCTTCTCTGTCAGTGATGCGTTTTTCTTCAGTGTCTCCTGATGATTCCTTCCTGTTTCATCTGGAGTATTTGTAAGCCCCTCTGTAGTATCTTAATGGACTGTAATGAAATAAATGAGGGACAGTGGTTTGTTTTAACGTTCCTCCATTGTCTAATTTCTCTTTCTTGAATTTTAGAGGTTAGGAAACGGAGTCAAATGTCAGTAGAAGTCGGCCATTGAGCTCTACATTATTACAAACCCAGTAATTCAAACCAGCAGCCTGTTGATTTTTGATACTTAGTACTTAATGTAGCTGCAATTATTTTAGATCTATTGTTACAGCAACACATAAAAAAATCGCATGATTCCAGTTTTGTTTTTTACGTCTGTTTTATTTATCACCACAGCTTATTCAAAGAATCTGTAAAAGGTTAAATTGTCACTTATAAATTAGTCAGCTGCTGTTTTAGTTGGCAGTCCACTTAGGGATTCTGAAGGAGAAGTGCGAAATTATGTTTTCACTGTAGAATTTCCTTTTGGACAACCAGGAAAGTTTTTGTTCTCTGATAGCGTGAGCTCTGTTCTCGCCCATTTAAAATGAGGAAAATAAACTGACTGTGAGTGTTGAATGGTTATTAAACAGATATGGATGAGGTGTGTGGAGTACCTCGGAAAGTTGGAGTCAGACCACGACCTGCTTTTTGAACACACCCTTGTACTGCATACACAATTAGATTCATGCCTGACGTTAGGTCCACTTGTTATTTACAGGCTGTGGTAATTATAATTTAACAGAGATGGATGGTTGGTTTCCTCAGTTACACCCTGGAAGAGAACATTTCCTAAAGGAATTTCTGATATTTTTGCTTTAGGTTCGGGAAAGGAAAGAGTAACTCATTAATCCTGTAAGGAAGTTCCCTGGAGTTGAACCTGGAATCGTCTGATTTGTCGTCATTTTAAAGCAGATGGGATGTGTTTTTTCTTCAGAAGTCAAAGTCTTTCATTTTTTATTTTATAAATCATACATTTCAGTAATTCCCTGGAGATAAATTGAAGTAAATTACGTCTTGAAGTACAACAACTTGCCATTTAAGAATCCTTTGTGTTTTCTTCAACTATGTAAGCCAAACAAAATGATGGTTGAAGACAAAGGCTGACGAAGTCTCCTTGTGTCTGTAAAAAGCCTGTGGTCCAGTGTTGTCCAGCCTGGAATGCAGTTTTGTTGTACCTCAGGTCATTAAATCTCAAATCGTACGCGTATATATTTTTGCTCGACTGCTGATGGAATTTTACAGCAAGGTTCAAAAATCGGAGGGCACTTTTATGGGGTATCATTAACATAGAAGATGCTAAAACTAGAACTTTGTTTGGTCACTTTAATGACGCCGCAGAAGAATGTCCCGACAATAGTCGAACATGATCGCCTGAAAGCAATCTTTTTACAGCGTAGAATAATAATCAGATTTCTTGTGGTTTTTTATAAACTGGAAGCAAACATTATGTGAGTTCTACATTTTATTTTTTTTAAATAAATAAATAAATAAATAAACACAGACAGAGACTGTCTTCTGGCGTTTATAGCTGACTGGCTGACGTAAACGACATGAAAGTGGTCCACCCCCGCGATTTGTCTCCAGCCGCTGTGGTTAATCATTGTCTGCGGGACTTCCTTTCTGTCCAGAGATGCATTTTGTGAAGGAGGGCCAAACTGTCAACACTCGTCAGCTGGTCTTATAAAAAACAAAAACAAAAATAGAGTGGGTGGCAGGCGCAGAGGGACCACAGGAGGGTGCCATCGCTGGAGAAAGACATCCCATCAGTAGTGAAATCTCACCCTTTTTTCTGCTTCTGTTTTGGTCTGTAGTTTGTCACATTTTCTTATTTTCCACTGCCTTGTCATTTTTATCTGGTATAATTCATCGTCTCTGTTTGGTTCTTGTTGTCTTGATTTTCTTCCAGATCACAGGCTGGAGTCCTGTGGAACAGAACTGCTTGTTTGAGTGGACACTTTGTCTCACTGTTTAGTATCAAACTGGGAAGTGAAGTTATAATCTTTTGCACAAACCAGTTTGTTAGGACACGTTTGATGCCTTATGTTTAGTTTCTCTTTCTCCTTCCATCTCTCTCTCTCTTTTTGTTTTTTCCCAGAAGTTGTGGTTCTGTCTGTTTCAGTGCCAGTGAACTCAGATCTCAGGCCAGGCGTTAATTCATTTCATTTGGTTTACAGCACTGGAACACGCTGTGTTGACACAGAGGGAAAAAAAAGGAAAAATAGGATCGTTAAAATGAAATATTTGGTTGGGAACAGAGGGTGACATGTTGAAATAAGTGAGTCAGTATGAGCTGATATCAAAGCACTGAAGTAGTGTCTTATCAGGCCGCGGGGACAATATTTAAAAAGTCCAACTCTGTGATATGGAAAGGCATGAAAAAGTTTGGTAAGATGTGATTTTCCTGGGACTGGGCTTCTCTACAGATTAGGTTTTGATGATGTTTTTGTTTGATTTTTTTTTTTCTTGATGTGCCAGATGTTTTCAGTAGGCCACAGATCTAGACCACAGGCAGGACAGTCGAGCACATTCACACTCTTACAATATGTGCAGATGTGAAGCTCGACATTATCAAAAATTAAAAATGAACGTGAAATTTTAATTTAAAAAATTTAAATACATAATGTAGGTTTTCTTGTCATATGTACATTTCCAGGCCATAGACCTGGGATGTGACCACATTTCCAGCTGCTGGACTTCACACTCATTGTCATTGTCGTCAGTCTAAGGTCTGTTTTGACCAAACGATGCTGAAATGTGGACTGAAACTGTTGTTGTTTGTCCCAGATAAGTGCTGGTGCAGACAACTTGACAGTATTTCGGCACAAACGTTGATGAATGTCTTCCTCTTTTGGTGATGCAGTCAAAGAGTGCAGTTTTGTCGCAGCGCCAGACTCTGTTGTAAACTACGATTATTATTATTATTAAAGTGGTTCAAAACCACTATGACCCATCACGGAGGATTATCTAAATGTTGTAGGCATGTAGGTAGGAGATATTTAATAGTCATGCATTGTTTATGTTCCACCACAGTTTTACTGGGTCTTCACCTGCTCAGTCAGACCTGGACTGTAAACCTGAGCTCAGTTTTAGGTCTGGTGGAGGAGGCTTGGGTTACGAGATCTCTTGTTTCCCTCAGTCAGTTTCTTAGCTCTACAGTCGTTACACCCGACAGGCTGTGGTGCCTCCAATCTCACACACACACACACACAAATTCCAGCTGAATAAACAGCTGCAACATTGCAGTGCACGCCAGGAAACATACCTCTGCCATGCTGATTGCTGCTGTGCTCCGAGTCCTTACATAAAGACGTGTACACACATCGTCACGTGTGTCGGGCACATGTGCCGTCGATCGGGACTTAAAAAACAAAACGTTAATGATCTCCTGTTGGAATTCAGCCACAGCTCTGCATGAACCAGCTGCGATCATCGAGTTAGTGGACAGATCCCTGGAACCGATCACAGAACTTGGTCATTTGTGTGTTTACTCATTTCAGGTTGGGTGGGGCCTCAAAAAAATGCATAGGTAGGTTGATTTTTGCAAATATAGTTTGAGAGGTACACACGAGCGCTGTTTAAAACAATAAACGCCACACAGCCTTTTAAAATGGTGTGTGGTCTGCAAGAAATCAGTCCCATCTGCAGGACGCTGCCAAGAACAGCAGCAGTGGACAGGAAACAGGTCTCTGTGAACAAAGCCCTTCAGAGAAGGACTTGATGAAGACTCGGCCTCTGCTGTGGGAGGAATTTTAGCAAAGCACAATACGTAAATGTTATTACTGTTGTTTTTATCGTAAGCATTTATTCCATTTGCAGCGTAAATACTACAGTACACACTACTAGACATTCCTGAACCAGTCAAGTACTTTTTTTTCTATTTTCTAGTATTATGATATTTATCCCAGAATCTCACTTATATTGTTTACACTGCTAACAAATGTTTTTTGGGACATGTCGGAGATTCGCAGAGAGGACTGTAGTTGAGTCCCGCCCCCTGTTTTGACACATTTATCAATGTTACTTCACACACCTGTTGTGTATGCCAAAATGCTATTCTCATTAAATGAAGAATAGCTCTGTCCCATCAGGGGGGTCTGCCCCTCACTTTGGAACCACCGAGTTGAAGTATTTCTTTTTTTAGCTTCCATATTTCATATTAATGCCTTCTGAAGGACGGTGGTGTCTTTAAACCCCTCTCACTCATCCGTCATGGTTTATGACTCCATATGTCAGAGTTTATTACATCAGACGGCTATTTTTATATCAGCAGTAAAAATAAATATTTTAACAATTAGTCATTTCACTCATACCACAAAGAATTCCTTCCCAAAATAGTTGAGCAACATCATCTGAAAGGAATTATCCGGTGTCATGACACTGAAGGCTTATCACGTTGTACTTGTTAGCGCTGTTACTGTTTCAAATGAAACAGGAAGGAAACGCAGATACAGACATTTTCATGTTTTTTGTGGTAGATTTTTATTGCAAATTGTAATTTTCTGATTCCCTAATTTTCTGATTCCCTCTACATTTCTCACATGACCACAGACTGGGCCACTCTTAGGTTGAGCCCGGGCTGCATGTTGCCCTCGGGCCACTATTTAAATAGGCAGGAGTGGCAATGAAAATGTGAGGCACTAAATTTAAATAAAGTCTTAAAACATTGTGACACAATTTTCTACATGGAAAACTAATGAAATGAAAACAAAAGTGATTACTCTCTACATGGAAAAGTAATGAAATGAAAACAAAAGTGATTACTGAAGGTTTTACGTTACAACTGTGGACGTACGAGAGTCGGACAGAATCATTTCCTGAGGCAGAGTCCGTTCCCAAACCTCTGGGCCTTGACTGCAAACACATTTTTATAGGATTTATTAGAAAGTCAGTGAGGCTTGAAAGGGCTTCCAGTCAACCATCACTGACTGTACGGTAAAGCAGCCTCTCTGTTCCACAGGTGTGTGAGACTGACAGAGGAGACACTGTGAGGATCTGTTTTAAACTTGGCCAAACACACTTCCACAACCGCATATGGGGGAATTTAAGCACTTCCCTTTTCTTGATTTCTGCACCACCTACCCTCCGTTGTTCTTTTTATATTTCTGGCAAGGACAAATGATGGAAATAATTTTTAAAAATCTTCATCGGAAAATACAGAATCACATGCGAATGGCTTTCGCAGGTTTTTGGTAAAACTAATTTCTGGGAATAACGTTTGGCTATTGATGTCACACTTTATCCAGTTTGACTTCCAGATATTTGCTTCTTTCATTCGAGAGCCTGAACCACTACGGTCATTGTGACGGCCGCTGCTAATGCACTGGATTGAATCAGTCACCAGGTGCTCGGTCATGTGACCTTGACAACGTTCAGATTTCAGAAAGTAGTAAAACAAACTGAGAACCACGAGACTCAGAGACTAAAGAAAAATAAATAAAAACAAGTGTATTTTTTAAACAGAGAGAATTTCACCTCTGCTCTTTATCCCTTTTTTCTGTTTGATGGTTTTTCTTATTTCTATTGACTAAAGGTTTTGAGGTTTGATGGTTGTTCTTATTTCTATTGACTAAAGGTTTTGTTTGTGGAGGTGAGGTAAGAGTTGTAGAGCAGAGCGAGGCTCGAAGGAAAATAATTCACTTGATTGACCTGCTGACAGCATTTTAACCAGCACCCTACTGATTTTGTACTACCAGCAGTTTTTTACCAGCAGTCGCTCCACTACATATGCTCCTGGTTAGAACGACTAGACTTCTCGAATGACTCCTGCATAAATTGCTGTTGTCATTTTTTGCGTGTTCTAAAGCCAAGTATTTCTCTGACGGCAGAATCCGTAACCTTTAAAGGTGTTTTCTCCTTCACTCTGGCTTTTAATTATGTAAATCTTTTCTCTTGTTGCTAATGCTCCTGCTTTTCTTTCATGTCTAAAATATTTTTTTTTTCCAAAAATGTTTGCACTCGCTAGAGATTCTGTGCAAAGTTTTCCACTGCGGAGGCAAAGTTAAAGCCACACGAAGGTACAGGGAGAAGAACCCACAAAAAGCCAACATAATACGGCGTTAAGCCGACTGGCTTTTGTCACCAGCACAAGAATGAAGTCTTTGTAATCAATACTGGATGTAAGGCCTGAAAATCTGATCTGCTGGTTCTGCCAACGCACTGATGTTGGCCGAACAGCCACTGTAGATCTGTACAACCGTGATCTTGGACGGTGGAGAACTCACGCTGTTGTGTTATTTTGCCGTTTTTACTTGTTTTCTCTGCCACTGACAACATGTGTGATGAACTAATGTCAGTCCTCTCTCACTCTCTTTCCCAGATCATGGATGAAACACAGACACAGATAGCCTGGCCGTCCAAGCTGAAAATAGGAGCCAAGTCTAAAAAAGGTATTTTCTTTTTCCATTATTTTTTTTTTTTGTTTGTATTTCTTACTTTTTACACCCATGTCTTGCCCAAGGTTTTATGGCAATGAAAGGAACTCTTGTGTGGGCCAATCAGAACTGGATTTACTTTTGCAATTACCAAAGGTTAATGTACGTCGTAAAGATTTCTCTTTCACAAAATATTGATCCAACAAAAAGATTTAATACCAATGAATATGAATCAACATTATTTATTTATTTATTATTACTCGTTGCTTATTTATTTTTTATATTTCATTGTTAATATGACATTGATCCTGTAATTTATTATTATTACTCATTGCTTATTTATTTTTTATATTTCATTATTAATATGACATTGATCCTGTAATTTATACAAACAGCTTATTTATTCACACACAAACGCTAAACACATGAAGGTCTTTCGACTTTATTTGAATTTGGATGTAATTCTTTCTTCTCTGTTTCAAAAAATAACCGATTATTTCATGTCTTTACACACCAGTGACTTGGTCTGCACTGAGGAATTTGTACGTTTTTTGTTTTTTTTTCAGGCAGGCGTAGGAGTTGTAGTTTCTTGTACTCCATCTCACACACACACACACACACACACACACATTTTGGCCAAGTTGTGTGTGTCTTCCACCAATAAAAGTGATCACTGTTATTTAAACCTCTTCCTGGATGGGGGTGCGGTGGTGTGTTAACAAAAAGGGTCGGGGGCCCAGTTGTGCCCACTTTGTTGTCCTCTGGAGAATTGCTAGTGTGTGTGTGTGTGTGTGTGTCTTCCACCTCTATGTGGAATCCAATGTCATTATGTAACTTCCTCACTCACTCTGTGCAGAAAATAGTTGAGTAGAACTTCTGATTTTTTCTTTTTTTTTCCTCTGGATCTTTAACCTCTGTCGATCCCTTCACACACCATCATCCATTCACCTCCTGCATGTCTTTTTGTCATTCACAAAAACGGGCCTTTCAGCGCCACCTGGAAATGATGTTCCCTGTACTGAGTGAGAATATTTACATCTGTGATCTTTGGTTTGAAGTTTGTCAGATTTTTTCACCCCGTGTTTCATAAACAGGGAGATGCAGAGAGGAAACATGTTCGATTATTACCATATTACTGTCTGAGGAGACACACGTGGTCGAGACTGTGTGTTTAAACCATCTGGACTCCATAAGAGGAGTCTGGGGAGTCCCCTTTTTGAGTCACCCAACCCAGGAAAAACAAAAAATGGATTA